TCTTTTTCCACTCTGCCTCTTCCCTTATTGCTCGGATTTCTTTTCTCTCTTGTTCTTGTTCGTTGTTACTCTCTCACTTTGCTTCTCTCTCTCTCACTCTCTCTCTCTCTCTCTCTCTCTCTCTCTCTCTCTCTCTCTCTCATTTGCCTTGCTCTCACTCTGAATCTATCTCTGACTCTTTAGGTCTCTTCCTCGTTCTTCCACTGTCCGTTATTTTCCTCTTTCATGAATTCCTGACAAGTTTAATTGACATCACAATTTTGGTGGCATTCATAAAATTTACACTGTATATGCGTTATCCTCAATTTCTTTTTTGTTTAAGGATTTATTTATGTATGCATACAAGAGATGGAGAACAAGCCAGGGGTACAGGGGATGAGAGGATTCATCAGAGACAGAGTGGGGAACAGAACAGGCAGATTGAAACACACTGCTGAGGAGAGCAGAGGGTTAGACAGGAGAGGTCTGCCATGCCCTGTGGGTCACCTCCCTGGCAGGGGATCGAACTCATGCTGCAGTGGCTGCAGAACACTTCATAGCTTCTGCACCACAAGGAAGGTCCCCGTTATCCTCAATTTTTGAGACATTCCCGAAGGTAAGAATGCTGAAACATAAGCCCCCAGCTTTTCCAATTTCACCACACTTTATTTAGAGAAAACTAAAGTAAATGTTGAGAATATAGAGTTTATCATAAACTCTGCCTCTCAATTGTGATCTGTCTCTTACCCTAGACCCTGTTCACTGAATGCTCAGAACTCTCTGTCTCAAAAGCTCAATACATTTGAACCATAATGTCATCTCAGAATTCTGATACTGTCAGGGACTGTGACCATGAGAGGTCTCCAATTGTCTCTGAGACAAAAAAAACACCCAGCATGTAACAAGCTTCCTGTACAGAGAATCCAATGGACCCAAGAACTTGCTATGGAGTGGATCAGCTTGGCACTCAGGTATGTTGGCCCACTCATCAGACATCATGGGAATCAACTCTGTGAAGACTCTCACACAATTTGCCCCTCTGTAAGATGGAAGGTGTGTGTGGGAGGGGAGGAGTGGGAACATATCATGGTACAGGTGCTCAAAATACCACAGAAAACAGCGATCATGTGCATCCTGCTGTGTGTTCCCAGAGCTCACAGTCTTGGATTATGTTTGGGTGAGCTTGTTTTGAGCCAACTACAGTAGGCTTGAAATAACCTGACAAGAAATGTTTTTTCTGGGATAAGAATAGGGATAAAAACAAAAAGTGAAAGATTATAGCTCTTGTTTACTTTGAAATCTGATCCGATTTTTCCAGGAGCTCAAACTGGTTGACACTTTTCCCTACTATGCATTCCTTTCATGCTGATGGTATTTATGGCCCAATAAAAGGACCCCTAAGACAGGTGAATAAAAGGACCAGAGCAGACATGGGCAATCCTTACCCAAAAGGTCATTCTGAGGAAGCCAGTCTACAATTTTCACATTTGCTGCCAACTTGTTATCTTTGGGCCAGTGACAATCCTTACACTTCCATATAATCCCTTGAGGGAGACTGGCCATTGCACTGTTCATCTCCATGAGAAACTCCTGAGTCAGGAATTTGTCCACCACAGAACCGAAGGCCACAAGGACAAAACCATGGTCTTTAAACTTGGCGATGAAATTCTCAAATTCCTGGAGAGAGGAAAGAAGAAAAACAGGAAACAAATTGTTCATGAAATTCTAGACAGCCATGAAATAAAAGCCAATTATTGGCTAAATATTCCCCCCTGTCAGAGACGAGAACTCATCACCTTGAAACTGTTCTCTTGTCCCTGGGGTACCTGTGTGCCCTCTGCCACTTGCAGATGGTCTCAGTCATTGCTGATCTCTGAAATTTCAGGGCACACTTTCACTTAATACTTGAAGCAATGACAAATGATATGAAGAGGCTTGAGGGAACAAACTAGCACTTCAGCTCACACTGCACAAGAGGTGCTTCTCACTTATGGTGAACAACACCAATGCCTACCTCAGAACCTCAATGTGTACAGAGAAGGTTCAATATTATGACATAGAAATTTCCCTCATTCACCTTTTGCCACATATGGAGTAATATATGCAATGATTCTCCCTCTCTTTTAGAAAAAAAAAGGTCTTTTATGTATAACAATCTTTCGTGGAAGAGAGACGTGAAGATTGTGGGAATCACTTTCTTCACAAAAACTTGACCTGATCCTAGTATCACTGACTTCCTTCTGCCCAGTTCTACGTTAAAGGAGAATGGCTCCTTTGGGAATATTCCAATTCTCAAGAGTGAGTCTAGTGTCTGGGAGAAAATGGTTGCTGTCCTTGCCTAGACAGGACTGTGCTGATGCTGTTGAATGTATCTTCTATCTCCTTCATTTGTGTATCTTCCTTATTGAAGATACTGCTCAGGTTCTAGACATGTTTTACTTGCTTTGTTTTATTGATGATGTTAATAATTCTTTATGTATTTTGAATAAGAGCCCTAGTTGACATTTCTTTGGCAAATATTTACCCATAGTTGCATTCTCTTGACAGTGTCTTCCCCAGAACAGAAATGTTTAACTTTAATATTTAAATTTAGTCCACATATCAAATCTTCTTTTCATAAAATGTGCCTTTAATTTTTGATCAAAAAAGTAATTGCCAGACCCTAGCTTATCTAGACTTTCTCCTCTATTGTCTCATAGGTGTTTTATCCTTTTCTATTTTATTTAGATTTATTTACATTATTTATTTAGATCTATGGCCCATGTTGGTAAATTTTTGTAAAGAAAGATAAATATATTGTCATATATTTTGTTGGATTAATTCCTAATATTCACTTTTGGTGATGCTAATAAAAATGGGTTTGTAGTTTTAATTTCACATTCCTCCTAGTCATTGCTGGTATACAGGAAAAGGATTGTGGTTTGTAGATTAAACTTGTATATTATATTGCTATAATAGCACATTAGTTTTAGTCAGCTTTCTTATTTTCTTTCATATTTTCTACATAATTGGTCGTTTACAAATTCAGCTTTACTCCTTCCTTCCCAACATATAAATCTTTCATTCCTATGAACATGTGTGTGTGTTTGTTATTGCTTGAAGTAGGACTTTACTACCATTCTTCTTTATTCACTATTGGGTCACATTATATCTACTACCATTATTCTCTGGCCAGGCTGATTAGTGGGATAATCTATGGTATGGCACCTGTTCCTGAAGTCTAGGGAGGTGGCTGCTCTTCCCTATGCCCACAGCAATGCTGAGAATCAAGGAAAATGAAGAATCAAGAACAGATGTTACAAGCAAGGTAGAACATGTATCTCCATCCACCAAACATAATTAAACGGAATTACAGGAATTACCTCACGGAGAAATCAAAATATATGTCCTATTCACTGAAAGCATAAGACAGTACATGAATATGCTGAAAATTTCAGCAAAGATTAAAAAAATACTTTAAAACTAGCAAACAGAAATCATGGAAAACTGAGAAGGGCCTTCCCTGGAAGTGCACAAGGTTAAAGCACAGCACTATGAAGCTATCGCAGCCACTGAAGCAGGAATTTGATCCCCAGCCAGAGAGGTGACCCCTATGGTGCAGCAGACCTCCTGTCTGCCTGCTCTGCTCCCAACTCTGTCTCTGGTGAATCCTCTCATCACCCCCACCTTTGGCCTGTTCCCTAGTTCTTGTATGCATGAATAAATCAATCTTTTTTTAAATAAATGCAAGAAGCCCAAAACAAAGAAATCTAAAGAAGTCCAAATCTAATAGCAAATTCTTATGTTAAAGTTGTCAAAGGTCAAAAACAGAATTTTTAAAAACTTTAAGAGCATTACGAAGAAAGTGACTTTGTCAGTCATTTGCAAGGCAGCCTCCATAAATTTGTCATTAGTTTTTTCAGAAGAAGTTCTGAAGACCAGAAGGGCATTATAGCCTTCAAAAGTATTCTTTACAACTGTCTTCTAAAATCATCCTTAAAAACTGTCATAAGAAAGTGGCCTTTGAAAATTAAAAGGATAAAGATTTTATTAAGAAACAAATGTTGAAAAAATTTATCACCGCAAGACCTCCTTAGAATAATTGTTAAAGGGAGAAAAACAAATTGAAGCGAAAGGATCCCAAATGCCATAACACCAAGGATGTCACTGCACCTGACCTTCCACCACACCACAAAATTAACTCAAAATAGATTAAAGACTTAGAAGTAAGGGCTGAAATTCTGAAGCTTTTAGAAGAAAATGTAAAGGAAACATCATAATACTTTTCATTACAAAGATTTTAATGGTAAAGCAGCATGAACAGGCAGCAAAACCAGAAATAAACATGGGACTACATCTAACTAAAAGGTTACCCACACCAAAAGAAATAATCTACAGTGGGGGGGGGGAATCAACACCAACCCCATAGAATGGGAAAAAAAATGTTTGCAAACTGTTACATACCTTTAAGAGGTTAATCTCCAAAATACATAGTTAAGTCCTGTTGCTCAATAACAAAAAAGTCTTATAACACATTTGATTAGAAAGGCTTGGGCTTGAATAAACATTTCTCCAAGTATAATACTCAAGTGGTCAGCAGGTATCAGGAAGTTATCAGGTTATGCAAGTCAAAACCACCATGATATTACTGTATACCTTCGGACTAGGTATTACCACAAAGAAGAAAGACAGCAAGTGTCGATGCTATGGAGAAATCCCCGTCTGTACACACTCTTATGTGGAATGCAAATGGAGCAGCTGCTATAGAAACCAGAGATTATGCAAAAATAGAATTACCATATGTCCCAGCAATCCCCTTTCTGGGTATAACCTCAAAAGAGTGGATTCAGAGTCTCAAAGGGATAACACCCATGTACATTATTCACATTAGCCAAGATGTAGCGATAGTGTGAGTGTCAGCAAGAAGACACATGGGTAAGGAAGGTGAGGTACATGTATCCAGTAAACTAATACTTATCCTGGAAAAGGTGGAAATGCTATGGAGGCGGAAACCTGGCTGAACATTGAGACATTCTGCTAAGTAAAATGAGCCAATCACAGATGGAAAACACTGCATGATTTCACTTACATGAAGTTTTTTAAAAATCAAACTCATAGAATCCAAAAGTTGAAATTCATTTCTAAGAGTCAGAAGAAGAAGTAGTGGGCAGTTATTATTCAACTAGGAAGCGTTTCAGTTAAACAAGATGAATAAGGTCTTGAGATCTGTGCAAAGCATGATGTTTATGGTCAACAATAGTGTACCACACTGTTAAGAATGTGTTTGGAAGCTAGGCCTCATATTAAGTGTTCTCCCCAAATAAAATAAAAAGTAGATTAGTTACACTAACTTATAAAATTCAATAAAAATGACATGTAATTGAAATCAACTGAAATGATACATAAAATAAAATAAACAAGATGGTATATTCCCTTGAGGCTTTTCTTGTTTCACTCTATTTTACTTTCAGAACCCCACTGGGTCAGCCATCCACTCTGAGACCTCTGGATGAAATCCACGTTGAGTGCTAAAGCTTTACTTACCTGTGGTACTGGTTTTTCAGAGCTAGCCAGTAAGCCTCCAATATACACAGTGTTGGGGTGTAGGGGCCGAGAAAATTCAAGAGCAAAGTCAGAGTTAATAAACCACAGTTCTGCTTTCTGTAAGAGATGAGACAAAACTGGTCTAGAGCCTTCTGGAAAATTCTTCTTGATGGTGTTGTCAAAGGTAGAGTAGATTTTTGATCGTTTTATTTGGGAGTCAAAGAACATCAGAAAGTTCTTTACTCGGCCCCAGAAGTCCATGTGATCAGTTAGCAAGGAATTCATTGCTGGAACATAAGATATAGGGCTTGGTAGGCCAGCGTTCAAAATGTTAAAGGAACATGCATTCAAGGCCACAAATGGTTTTCCAAGCTTCTCAGCCATCAGGAAAGAACAGAAGTCAAATCCATCAACAAACACCAGATCAAAATTCTCATTCTTTAAGTAATCTATGAGATCTTTTCTCTTTAGCAGATAATCACATTGTGCCCCATGTAGTCCTATTATACGCATATGGCTTTCAAATGTTTCTCTGTAAGAAAAAATAATGATGATAAATATTCATTGGAGGTGTGAAATTATTTGCAATAATTCGGATAATCTTGGGCTCAAAAACATTGTTCAAGGTAAGGAACACCCAATCTAGTATCCATCCACCAATTTTGTCACTGTTCAACAACTGCCTTCTGTTCTGGTCACTCTGGTTCAAGAGTTTATGCCCTAAAACGTTATCATTTGGTCCCTTTCCCTCTTTCTGGCTGATGTAGAGGTTCAACTTTTCCTACCATCAGTGCAATTCAAGGTTCTTCTGTTCTGAGAGCTGTGTGCTATAGTAGATCTCATAGTTCCACATCTGCTCAATATATTCAGCGACACACTGACTCATTCTCATCTCTAAATTGTCTCTGAAAAACAGTGCTATTTCCCAGTCAAAATGTGGATGTAACTGGATATAGTCTATCAATATTCATGACACTGCACTTTAAAAAAATCATCTACGGCCTCCATTTAACTGAATGCCTCATCCAGGGAGCTTTCTAAAGATAATTTTAGAATCCAGCTTCTAAACTAAACATGAAATATATGTTCTTCAAGTCTCAGGATTAAACAATTAAAAACAAACAAAAATAAAAGCATGTTTGAAGCCAGAGTTCGGCCTTTCCAATGTAGACTTGCTGAAGTGCTCAGAGAAGTTAATGCTAAAATTTTACTGACACCTCATGTAGCTAATATTTAAGTCACTATATCAGACACTATACTTGTTTTCCTACACTTGGGGGGCTTCCCTGGTGGTTCAAGGGGTTAAGTTTCACCATTATGAAGCTATCAGCAGCCATTGCAGCACAAGTTTGATCCCTGGACACATGGCACAGCAGACTTCTGTCTCACTGGCTGCTCCCCTCAGCAGTGTATTTCAGCAGATCCTCCTGCCCTTCTCCCCACTCTGTCTCTCACCCCTTGTACCTCTGGCCTACACCCCAGTATCTATGTGCATAAATAAATATTCTTTTTGTGTGTGTGTGTTTCTACACCTTTTATTTTTTTTATAATATAATAGTTTATTTTTACATCATTGTGTACATTTTCTTTTTCATCTCAATTGTAATCCCCGCGGGCTTCCCATCACCAAGTCACCCATGTAAATACTCTTAAAAGAAAAGAAAATCAGTGTTTTTCATTATTTGTTCATTCTTATGTATGTATGAGGAGAGAAGGAAGTACAGTATAAAATGACTCTAATTTGCTTACTGACAGTGAGAATTTGAGTTGTTTATTCCTCCTTCTGTGATGGGGGCATACACATGAGTGACACAAGCTATGCAACGTCCATCGTCTGACAGATTCCGGGTGGATCGGGATAAGTTCTGAAAAATCAGACTGTCCACTGCTAACTTATGTTATGACCTCCCTTTTTGGTATAAACATAATATCAAAATATTCTGAGCAACATTCAGTTTACAACTGGATTGACTTAGCTGCAAAAGGCAGATGCTGGTTCAGGCAAAGCTGCCCCAGGGTGAGAAATTTCTCTGTCTTTTGAGACAAAAGGCAAGCCCCAGGAGATATAAGACCCCAGGACATAAAAAGCTCCTGGGAAGCTTCCTTGGTTTCTTTAAATAAAAAAGCAAACCTCAGATAAGGCTCCCAGGGCATAATGGACAAATTTTTTTTTTAAAGATTTATTTATTTGTGCATACAGAACTGGGGTACAGGCCAGAGGCATAGGGGTGGTGAGAGGCTTCACCAGAGACAGAGTGGGGAGCAGAACAGGCAGATCAACAAAATACACTGCTGAGGGGAGCAGCGGGCGGTCAGGAGAGGTCTGCCACGCCATGTGGTCACCTCCAGGGCAGGCAGGGATCGAACTCATGCAGAAGTGGCTTTAGCTTCCTAGTGCTGTGCTTTAACCCGCTGCGCCACCAGGGAGGGTCCTAATGGACAAATTTTAACCTTGACTACACAGGTGTTGTTTGATATACAACTGTACAACTTTCTCTTAATTTACTCCTTTTTAAAACAAGCACTAACTACCCTCTGCCTTAAATTAGCCACTAGCTTTTCTTTAGACAATCACTGATAACACTGCTAACACAATTTATTACCACCCCAAGACCCTTAACAACCTTTTGCTAACAAGCTCACCCTTTCCCAGACCCCTCTTCCTTTGAGTGATGACTAGACAGCTGTATACATGATACCTATCACAAAACGTATAATCTATTATACCATAAATTGTTAAGAGAAGAATGCTTTTTCCCCTTGTCTTGAGAATGTTTTATGGAGATATCTCATTAACTTACCCTATGCATTATTACAATTAACTACTTGCTACACAGTATAAATAAAGACCTGCTGAGGGAATGGCAGGAAGACTTGCACCCAATCCTGACTCCCGTGTCTTCCTCGCGTCCGCTCCCCTCTCCCCCTTTTTTAGAATCTCCGCTTGCCCAAGCCTTCCCATCTTAGGGTCCTGCCTGTGCTGCCTCAAGACACCCCAAAGGTTGGAGCTGTCTCCAACACATGAGGACAACAGTGTCTTGTTGCCAGAAAGTATTAGGTTAACAATCATGCTAGGCAGAAATAATTCACGCTGACAGTGGATGAGGGACAGTTTGCAGTGTGGATGATCAAGATCAAGAGTCTCATCTGCTTCCTCCTTCCACCCATCACCTCCTTAGTCCCTCCCTCCATCCATTATCCAAGACATCATCTGTTCCTCTTAAAATCACTCTAAGTGTTTGCACACTCATTCATTGTGTATGATTGAGTCACCTGAATAAAAGAAAATTACCTTCCACGAAAATTTTCTGTCAAAATCGAGCCAATATTTTTTCTAAATTCTTTTTCAAAAGTTTCAGTTGTAGTCCAGCTGACTTCGTGGTACGATACTTTTCTCTTGCTGTAGTCTAAAAAATATCCATAGAGAAATATATAATTATATATATATATGAATATTTGCCTTTTGAAGTTTGTTGTCTTTCTCAGCCCTTCAATTATAGCAGCTGATAATTTTATTGAAATTTTATTTTATTTACTTAATTTTAAATACTAGGAGTTTCCACTTAAAGTTTTACTTAAATACAGTTAGCCCTCATTTTACTGGTGAGAAACAAGGACAAATGCAGTCAGATAATTTGTAAAGACTGAAGACATAGTGAATAGAATATTTCAAGTTCCCCTGCACTTTCTCTTTTAGATTACTTCAATTAATACGTGCAAAATTTTTACTCTGTCACAAAGTACTTCAGCCTAAATTTAAAATAATACTCATTTTCTGCATTCTTATTAACAAGCCTAGATTTCCCCACAACCTATTGGTAATAAAGAAACTGATACCGGTTTTGAGGTTGGACTGCAGACAGGTTTGAAACCCCTCTGTCTCTTGCACCTGTTCTGAAAAACTGAGAAGAAATCACCAGCATGTCTTTCACTGATGTTATCAAAATTTTCTAAACAACTAAGCTTGTCCTGCATAGGAGAGCCCTCCCTTCCTTTACTCAGAAGATTCAAAGGCAAAGAAAACTGTTTTGTTTTTAAAGATCCTGGGTCAGGTCTCACCAAACCTATCTGTGGTGTCAGATTGGGTGATTGGTTTTGAGTCACATGACCTATGATCTGACAGAGACACTGTGTAGAGGGATTCTGTGTCCTGTGCTTGTGATTCTCCATCAGACGTTGACCTCATTGCAGGCAGCACTTGGGGGTAAGACTGACCCCGGGTGACCCACCTTGATGCTGTGAAGAAGGCAGTCACCAGGGGCACACATTTAACATTTATTGCTACTGTAGTATTTGACTGACAGAGAAAAGTAGTGACTGGGATGGATACAAGGGCGGGTTAAAGGGGACAAGAGAAATCTGCAGGTGACAATTATGTGTTACCTTGGTTGTGGTGATGCAGGCATAGGTATGTGTGTGACCACAAAATTACACATAGTTTATTATAGTCCAGACGCAGTTTACATATGTAGCTTTATATTGTGCGTGCAATATTATATGCTCATTACTTCGATAAAGCCCTTTACCACATGACTTCACTATAAAAAGAAAACAGACAGATGAACTAAAATAAACTTTTGGACTCTGAGATCACTCAGAGATTACCAGAAAGGACAGCAGGATGCTGTGGGAGCAGGGAACAGTGAAGGGCAGACTCAGACTTTTCCCTCTGTTTCCTATAGTGTCTACACATGCCAATTTTCACTGATGCCCACTTAGAACTTATTTAGTGTTATAATGCAATGTTACTCAACAAGAAAATCAGGGCCACCCTATGGCACAACAGTTAAATAAATATTTAAAAAAATGAAAATCAATTAAAAATTTAAAAAATAGACCAAACCAAGGGAACCATTTAACAACAAAAAATCAATTAATAAATAATAAGTGTTTTAAATAATGAATATAAGGACTTTCAATCTGTGTCCACGAGAAAGTAATAGTTCTATATTTGCCTTCCTTATTGACACACTAAAAAAACTAACCAAATATGTGTTTCAAATGTTTTTAGAGAATGGACCATAGACCATATAGAACACAGGATATATCCAGCTGATGAAGGAGAGGAGCCCAAGCCCGGCCTGGTCATCTCCCGAAGTGGAGGAGATCCAGTTCAGAGTAGGGAGAACAAGCAATGAGAAATCACAAGGAAGATTGCCAGAGAACAGACAGCTGCAGAGAATGAAAGATCTGGAGTTGGAGTCTTCCTGGTAACCATTCATCATGTAGCTATGAGGTAAATACTGAAAACCAGGGGTGACCACAGCAAAAGGTGAAGTAGAAAGAGCCAATGCTTGTTCTATGTTGATACAGGGCTCCCTCCCGAGCCTCTCCTTAGCTTTGATACTCATGAAAATCTAAAGAGAAGGCCCCTGTCAGTTTGATATATGTGACATTCTGATCATCGTCTGCTAACTCTTGTAACTTTCTCTCATTTGTTTTCAAAATTGAGAGAGAAAGGTAGTTATGTTTTCTTAAGCTCTATAAATCCAAACAATAAAAGCTGGCTTCACCTTGGTGATAGTAGACAAACCACTTTATATTCCACAGTCAGGGCTAAGATAAAATGCACTAGCACCCAGATGAGGTGGGTATGTTATTAGGATACTAAGGCTACAGAGCAAATAAGTTATCCAGCACACATACACACTCTTCCATTCTTTCAAAAGACATTGTCCCTCTTTGTTTGGGATACAAAATATCAATAACTATGAACAAACATACCTGAGATAAAACTACCTTCATGATGAAGCATGGTAACATTGTGACCATGATCTTGAAGGATCTGAGCCACTCGGTCCATCAGTAGATAATGGCTTCCACCTTGGAACAAAACATAGATTTATAAAGAGAAGTGAAGGTGTGTCACTGATATGGTGGGTTAGTGACATCAGAGCCAGGAAACAGAAAGTTGCTGGTGGATGGAACGGTGATGACGAATTCCTTCAGTCTCTCTAGCTCACTCTGTAACCCCAGATCAGGACCAGGGCACCCAAATCATGACCTGTGGGAATCCCAGTCAAGGATTCCCTTGGGTGACTGGTGGTCTCTCTGTTTCTGTGATGAGCTTCTCTGTGCTTCGTTCTTGAGGAGTTCGTCCCTGATCTGAGGGAGTACATGGCACTATACCTGGGGCCTGTGGTGACATTGTGGCCTGAAGGAATGACCATCTGAGGGAACATTGCCACAGCTGTGAAGATGCATGTGACAGCTTTAGGGGACCCAGAGCAAAATCTGGGACCCTTCACCTTGGAAATGTATACTAGTGTACAAACCAGAAATAGGAAAGTGTCAAGTGAGTTCAGAAACTGTCACCAGAAGAGAAAGATATGCGAACCATTCAGCTAAAACCCTGGGATTCAAATCTATCTGACAGGGAATTTCTTAGTCGGGGCTGGGGGCAATTGAGACAGTTAAGATGACCTTTGGGTTCATGAAGTTGGCCTGCAGGGTTCTCTGTGCACAGGAGATGGAGACTCACCTCAGGACCACCCTGCACTCCTAAGAAAGGAAACGCTTAATTCTCATGGAGATACAGGTTCCAGAACACCAATATGCCACCTTGAGGCATTTGTCTTATTTCCATGGGACTCAAGAGCACCAAAAGCAGATGGAGGGGAAAAGTAGAATTTACCAAAGTCAGGCAGCCAAGATTTTTTAGGAGACGAAAGACCACAAGGTTGGGTCAGAAGAGAGGGAGGTAGAACAACAAAAATAATATGTGCCTGTGTGAATGACACTAGTTTTTTTTTCTTTAATCCATACTTGTATTGCCTGGGGCAGTGGGTGGTATAAATCACAAAACCTGCATCCCCCGACTGCTTGCTCTTGCTAACATTTACCTCCTGGAACTTACTTGAAGAACCAGTCCCCACACAGGCAGCAAGTCATGAGGGATCTTGGTGAGCCTAATTGTTTCTGGGACAGAAGGAGAACTGTCGCACTAATGTTCCAGATCCCTCTTGGGGCCTGAAACAAAATAAGGTACTTTCAAGAAAGGAGGAGCCCTTTCCTATTGCTTCCATCATTAAAAAAAAAAAAAAAATGAAACGGTAGCAAGGTATTTGTAATACTGCTTGTCATCAGTGGAATCTGAGGAATCAATGTGAGAAGATGCCAACTCAGAGAATTTCTGGGGAGTGACATTAGGGAAGTCTGGCATGCACCTAAGATGCCTCACACTCTTGACCTCAGGTCATCTCTCAAGATAGTCAAGGCAGAGGCTGAGGACAGGAGATTTATAGTTTCTCTCAGTCCAGGATCCACAGATTCTTGGAGACGAACAGGTGGTGTGGGGAGCCCTCCTTTCTTTGGGATGGGTTGACGACACCACGTGAAGAAACTGCAGCCTTGGAGAACTCCTTTATTCTAGTCAGTTTGTCAGTTTTTCTCCCCCCCCCCACCCCCTGTTTCACCTCCTGTGCCCTTTGAGCAAAAGTAAAGGGAATAAAATATTATCAACAGTACACAGATTTAACTGCTTCAATATCCTTCAAAAATTTCCAATAGCTCAAGGGTGGGAGAAAGAGGGGCCCCCAAGGTCTCAGCTGTTCAGGTGTTCTCTCTCTTCTCTTGTTACCTCTCCAGGTTTCCAATTAATGCCCATTGCAAATCTGTGCTGCCGCCCCAGGAGCCATGAACATGACCTTGAAGGCAGGACATCAGTCTCCTGAAAGTGACTTCACTTCCTCTTTCTAGCAGCAGTGACCATTCATCTTCCGGGATTTAGGGCAAATGCTAAATGTTTCACTAGCACCCTGGAGAAGGACACAGAGCCTCAAGCTCAGGACTGCTTCTGAACTTCTAACCACAGCCTTGGGGAAACACTTCTAAGGTAGAAAATGGGCAAGAAAAGAAGTGCTGTTTTCTCCAGAACCAATTTCTCCCCATCAGCAGTGATCCAGCTGGGCTTGCATTCAGGGCTGCATAGGGAGAGGTGGATGGGGTGGGCTGTGCAGCCCTGAATGCAAGCCCAGCTGGATCAGCACAAGGAATGACCCCATAACTGGTTCTTCAGCTCCAGCAAGGCTGCCCAGGGGGTGCCTGCCTGCCCCTTACTCACCCAAGTTTGACTGGGTCAAGATTCTGGAAGCTTCTGAAAGCAGGAGTCCAGGAAGTAGGAAGCCAATGATAAGTACAGCTCTCTGCTCCCCCATATTCACTGCTGTTGAAGCTTCGAAACCAGTTGTGTTGAGTCCCACACTGACGCAGAGAGACAGGTGAGTCGACAGGTGAGCCTTCCAATGCTGTCGGTCTGCACCTTGGGAAGAGATAAGAGACACCACCTCTCTTCCCTGCCTTTCTTGACAGTCCCTTTGTGCACTGGTGCCTGCGTCAAAGGACAGGCTATACTCACTCTCCCTGACCTTTGGCCATCAGAAAGAAGGGCGGTGAGTTGTTTTTAACTCCTTTCTGTCCACTCAATCACCACACTGTCCACACTGAAAATACTCCACCAGGGAGGGGGGCACCCCCTCATAGAATGTTCTACTTCTGAGTGACTTGCAAGTAGGAATTTCTCCCAAAGCTATGGGTGCTTGCCTCCTTCCTACTGCCTACCTCTTGAGTTCTCTGACTTGCTTCCTTCAGAGCCAAGGTCTCTGCCTTCATCTGTTTGATCTAGAGAGCGAGCCCAGACTTTTTGGCTTCTACTTGCCCCAGGTTGTCAGGCTGGTCTCCAAAGAGGGGAGCCCCCACCATAGGCACACCATATTTGATGGCCTCCATCACAACATTCACCCCACCGTGGGTGGCAAAAAGACAATGGGAGGGTGAGCTGTTTCAAATACGAACCAGAGCAGAACACTTCAGGATGAACAGTTTCAGAACTCCAGGTAATGTAGTATAGTAGAATTAAATACCAAGTGAATTTCAAAGTGGGTTGGAGTCATTGTAAGAATAATTTTGTTTCATGTTGGAGTCTAAGCTGTGTCTTTATATGGAGATTCCCTGCCTTTGTCAAACCCAGTTAAGATCAGAGCCCAGAACATTCTGTAGAAAATGGTGCTAAGCAGTGCATATGTCTCCAACAATCCAACCACAACTTAACCGATCACCCGTGCAGATGTACACACATAGCCCAGCCTTTGTTACACACCATTTTACAGCGTGTGAGAAGCTCATCTCCTTAAGAATTCTTGCATGTGGTGGGAGTTTACTCTGCATTCTTACCGTGTAGATGATCTCTGCTTGTTAAATTCTGTGATGTTCCATTTGGCTTTCATTTGCATACAGCTATTTAATATTTTTCTGCTTTTAGAAATCATTGTATAGGGTCCTCCTCAATGGGACAGTGGGCTAATACTGCAAGCTGGCTGTAGCCGCTTCAGTGTGAGTTTGACCCCTGGCTCCAGAGGTTGACCCACATGGCACAGCAGACCTCTCCTGTCTCTCCCACTGCTCCCCTCATTGATCTGCCTGTTCTTCTCCCCATTCTGTCTCTGGTGAATCCTGTCACCACCCCTGAGCCTCTTGCCTGTACCCCAGTTCTGTATGCATAAATAAATTAATCTAAAAAAAAAACCACAGAAATCATTGTATATTCTGGATAAGACGGATCATCTCACCCAAGATTCTATTATAGATTATATTAGAAGTAAGCATCTCAGTGTTAAATGGAAATTCCACCCTCCTATAACTAGGGTTCGGGCATTGAAAAAATAATAAAGCCTGGTTTTGAAACACATTATTAGTCTTTCTATTTCAATGTTGGCTAAGGTTTCCAGAGAAGATAATGGCAAAACTTGACCTAGCTGTGACTAACTGTGCCTAGGGCACTATTCCAGGACCACTGTTTTTACAATGCTTTCCCGGCATTGCCTGCATAGAATATAGTTCTGTTTCCTGTTTGTATAACACATGGGGTTAGAGATGTGAATCTAATCCATCTACAATATAAGGTACCAGAGTAACAGGTGCAAGGGCACAAGATATCAGGGGCCTGCCAGATACAGGGAGGACCAAGAAATCCAACCCCTGGCGCACCTGTAACTGCACACCTGAACACCATGCCCAGAGGCTGGCGGCTCAGGAACAACATGTAGTTCTCTGCCTGATCTTTCAATCAACTTCAAGTCATACAATGAAAGTGATGAAATCATCCTCTTTTGCATAATTTTAAAGATTTTATATAACAGGAATAATTCCAAATTGTTTGGTAATTTCAGTAATGTTGTAAATACTCCTAGCATGTAGTTTAATCATATTTTATAATAAGCTAATAAAGAGAAAATAACTTCAAGAATGCATGGTTCACTAGACCTGCTCTCAAAAATATGAAATTAGGGGGAGACAGACCATATGCTTAAGCTGTATACAGAGCAAGGTAATAAAGTATCAAATGAGTAGGTTGGGTCACCCGTATAGAAGAACGGCTATTGTTTTCCAGTTTGAGAAAGGAAACCCTTTACTGAAAAAGTTAAATTTGAGCAGAACTAGAAAACAGATTTTCTAAGAAACAAAGAGGTGAGGCCACTGTAATTAACAGAGATAAGCTTGGGTTTTTTGTCTTTCCACTTTCTACCTAAGTTTAAGGAGTATGAACTCTTTCCAATCAGATGAAGCCAAAGGAGTTAGCTTCGTGTCACATTTTACACAAGGTAGAATGCTTTTAAAGGGGGCTTTATATAAACACATATTCGACTTTTGTAAAATTAATGTTCATAAGTCTTCCCTCCATTAATTAACATATGTGAGGAGGAAAGAGGAAAAGGTGATTCTGACTTCCCTACCTCTTCCTGTATTTGGGGGGATTAAAGGCAAAGATTGCCAGTGATATGTCGCAAGGCTCTGACAGATCTCTCCCAGCCCTTGATTCCTACAGAAAGGTCTTCATGATTAGAGTGGAAGGGCGGTGCAGAGTAAGAAAGGACTCAAGTGATGGGGCTAGTTGATTTGGTATGAATTGCCCGTTTACCCAAACATCCATTCATCATCTCTCCCTTCAGCCCTCCACCGGCCCATCTCTCTCCTATTCTCCAGCCACACGCCCATGTGTGCATCCTCTCATCTGTATCACTAAGATGGTGACTCTGGTTCAAATAATTAAAAGAAATTTCCTGCCACTCAAAACTTCTTCCATAAAGAAGTCAAAATACTTCTCAGTTTCTTTGATCTTCAGGTAGAAACCAAGTGATAATTTGATGGGGTTTTTTGTTTGTTTGTTTGTTTGTTTTGCTCTTTGAAATCTAAGAAAACAGCAAGGAGTTAAAAAGTTAAACACACTATGCAACATGAAGTAACACTGATTGATGATATCATTTGTTTATTCCAATAATGTTATGGTTATGTTTTAACTTCTTTGGGTTTTGTTTTGCCCCATGTGTTGAGATCAGTTCCCAGTTTGCAATGAAATGATGAAAAAGTTCTGGAGGTAACAGAGAGGATTTCACATCAATATCAACATGCATACACTTAAAATCACTGTGCTCTCAAAAGTATTAAAAGATAAATTTCGGGGGGTACACATATATATTTTACCATAATAAACTCTTCAGGGAAAATTTTATATGAAAATGCTATAAAACAATCTGAGAAAATATCATAGCTAAAGAAACCTTCAAAGTTTTATAAATTCTTAGAATTCTGCTTTTCAAAGGTGTGGCTTATATTGCTTTGTTTGGCTGTAATTAAGGCCTGCACAATACTTTAGTCTGAGCAATTCAGTGGTTAAAGTTCTTATTCCACTTGAAGTTATAATTAACCTGCCATGTGACTTTGTTCAAATAATTTTAAGTTCCCTGTGCTACTATTTCCTTATCTGTCAACAGAAGAAAGTTGATGCAATTCATTAGTTAATTTCACCTAAAATATGGAGTCAAAGGATCATTTAAAAACATCCAAAATCATTCTACATAAACTCATGGGCAGTGATGGATTTTCAGAAAACACAATCATTTCAATTGAAGATTCTGATCTGATATAAATAAATAAGGACAACCTGAAAAAGCTGCCTTAAACCTCAGATATCAGAATAAAGTAGTCTCTGTTGTAGAAAAAGAAATGTGTTTCTTACCTTTGTTTTTTTTAATTTATTTATTTATGCATACAAAAACTGGGCTACAGGCCAACTAATGCCATGGGTGAGAGGATTCACTAGAGACATAGAAGGGAACAGAACAGACAGATGAACTGAAATATACTGCAAACAGGAGCAGCAGTTAAGACAGGAGAGGTCTGCTGTGCCAAAGGCATCACCTCCCTGGCTGGGGATCAAACTCATGCTGCAGTGGCTTCAGATAGCTTCATGACACTATGCTTTAACCCCTTGAGCCACCAAAGAGTGTCCGCAATGTATTTTTAAAACTCAATTTAAAGTAGAATTTACCAAAATAATTAATGACAAGGTGTAGAGAATTACTTGGGATGAACTAGAAGTTCAAGTAAAAGAAGAAAATATAAAACTGTAAAATATAGAGTAAGAATCAACCAGAGTCAAGTTTTTCAACATCTGACATAAATACACAAATACAATCATACATCTATATTGCTTTCTTTTTTTTTCTGTTAAAGATTTATTTATTTATGCATACAGAACTGTGGTACAGGCCAGAGGTGCAGTGGTGATGAGAGGCTTCACCAGAGACAGAGTGGGGAGCAGAACAGGTAGATTGGCTGAAATACACTGCTGAGGGGAGCAGTGGGCGAGACAGGAGAGATCCGCCGCACCATGGGAGTTCATCTCCCTGGCCAGGGACTGAACTCATGCAAAAGCAGCTGCAGCTAGCTTCATAGTGCTGCACTTTAAGCCATAGTGCCACCAGGGAGGGCCCTTTGTTTCTTCCATCAAATTAGAATATAACATATTTTGCTAACTCCTTCTAGGTAAAAGGTATTGTTATTATTTTTCTGGAATAGAAGAAATCAAGAATCAGTGAGCAAAGATACCTGACCGCAGTGAATTTCCTCTCTGGAGAAGCATGGTGACATCATGACCATGAACTGAAGGATCTGAGACAACCGGATCCATCACCAGCTAGAAGTCATTTGAAGGGTCTGAAGTTAATGCTATGGTGGATCTGGGAAAGATGGGGTAGGGGAACAAAGTTGATAATACATTGAGGCAGAAGAGCTTCTTCGGTCAGTCTCTCCGCCTCCAGTTGAGGAGACCCCAGTCTGGTATCTCCAAGAGTCTGAAGACCATCCTTGACCTGTGGCA